ATAATCTCTATAATGTGAAGAATTTGTTGTACATACGTTTAACTTGAAGTGCGTGCTGCTCATTTATCGTTGAATTTAATGCCAACAAGTAACTTACAGGACAACAACAACACAGTGTATATTTATACTATTAAGAAGTATAAGTAAAAGCCTTTTAATTAACAATTGGCGACCATACCATAACTATAAATTCTGACAATACACATAACAGTTTCGCAAACTCATCAATAATATTGAGTCCCTTATCTGACTTGGAAATTCCTCAATATCTTCTCGAATATCCACGATGATCAGATCAATTCCAAATGATTGTACATAGCGATATCCAAAGTCCTAAAATGTCTTCGTAGTGAGAGTGAACCGTAATTTTTTTCCATAGAAAGCGCAAATGTCCAATTTAATTCCTCCGAAGTTGAATGGCCTGCAGTATTCGAAACCTGTGAACGTTTCTAGTCACGTATTGAAAGTACCCAATTGATAAATAAATGTTATAGTCGAAGGTATAGTTTCCGATGTTGATAAACGTGATAACACTGTGAAGTTAAACTTCAGTAGTATGTGATTCTTCACTGGTAGAACACCTGTTGCATCTTATAATTCTAGAGGTATGTCAGGTATTCAGAGTCTTGTATTCTTTAATATTATCATGCAACAATGGACTACACTTAGTTGTGATTGATAACACATCTGACTGGCTACTATCTACCCTACACATTAATTTGCCTCTGAATAATTTCTATTTTATAAAATTATTTTAATTCATTTAATCTAAAACTTCTTTTCTAGTTATTATATTCTGGACCACATAACAATTATAATATGTTTGCGAACATACAAATATCGATGATTCATACATTCTAGAATTTTCTACGCTCTTATGGAGTAAACACGAAGTTCGAAATATAGATTCAATATAATCACAGCATAGGTTATGTAAGTTTCTCAATATAGATTTAACATAAACAAATATCGGCATTAAAAATGGGTACTTGACACTAAATCTGTCACATATGTAAAACAAACTGAAGCGAGTTAGTTACTTCAAACCCTCCAGTGGCACAGCGGTATGTCTGCGGACTTACAACGCTAGAAACCGGGTTTCGATACCTGTGGTGAGCAGAGCACAGATAGCCCTTATGTAGCTTTGTGCATAATTAAAAACAAACAAAAACAAACTAGTTACTTCAGTTCCTACATCTACATCTAGGACACCAGGCTAACATTAGAAATTAAGCAATTCACAAAGTGATAAACAATATGAAAAATTCAAGTATTATTATATCAGATGCTATAATAATAAACTTTTCCTATTTTTATCATAACCTTTACCAAACTCTTACAATTTCAGAACTTTAGAAAATTGACGAAGAGGGTTAGACAAACTCGACCTAAAACTACACCAGTGGCGGGCAACCTAATTTAATTCGTGAGTCATACGTGCGGCCCTCAAAGATTGCTTTACCAGTTATAAAAAAAAAAAAAAA